AAGCGTCTGAACCTGAGGAGGCTCGCTTTGCCAACACCCACGTCGACCAGTGGATCGAGGGAGAGCCGTCTCACTCCCTGCCATCGTTGACAGGGAGTGAGTCAGTGGACTCAGGCCCACTCACGCCGAGAAGTCCAGGGGGGCACGCGCCAAGGGACCGTCACCGTGGTCCCTAAATTTGAGCATCTGAACTGGACATAAATTTGGGCTATTTCTTCTTTAGTGTGATAATTGTCCAATTTGTCCAGTACTGGGCTTTAAAATGTAACGCATCTCACGCTATGGCAGCTGGTAACCCTGCTTATTACCTGTTTTAAGTAGTAATGTAACCATCAAAACTCATCATACCCAGAGCAGTGACATTTTTGACCTCGCCCCTCTCCAGCATATGTGAGTCCAGCACTCGGTACCAGCCGTTTGGATAGACCGGAGGCACCTCTCCGATCTTCTTCCTGCGGCGGACTTCGTTTGCCACTTGCGCTCTGGAGCGACCGTACTCCGCGATGTATCCCACATCTTCAGGCGCCTTCAGCAGCTCCAGGGGACAGAAGAGCAATCTGTACAGTCAGCACATGGCGAGGAGGGAACCTATAGCGATGATGAGCAGCCCTGTCCTACGTCAGAGCGGCTCTGTCACTGACTGCGTACACACATCTCACACACACACTTAGCGAACGGACACGTCATCCTGGTGGCATTAACAGGCAGTGATGACGTGTTGTTATCCATCAGCTGTTGAGGAAAGCGCAAATACTGCACCTATGAAGTCACAGTGAGATCAGTGTGTGATTTATTCTTCCTGTGTTTATTCGGACGGGACCGTAAACTTGGCTATCCATTGTATTAATAACAGACTTGACAATAAGGCTTAAATCTTATGTAACCGGCGGGTTGGCCACGCATACACCGCCTGGTTAGTAATTTGGCAGAACAATCATGGATATAAACAACACCTGGGGACAACGCTGTTGTGATAAGCAATTTCTGTGCTGGTCGCTGCTGTAACCGGTCTGATGTGAATCTCCCTCCATTGAGCTGTGTCCTGTTTCTCCTTAAGACTGTTTTTAGGAGATTGCCCGCATGCTCTCCAGGAGCGATAATTGATGCGAGCGTGATCCAGTAGAAGTTTGCGTCCATTGCACATGCTGTGCTAGGATGACGTGCAGCCAAGGTAACCTGAAGCATTGTTGGTTTTAATTGTTTTGATCGTTTCTATGCTATTCTTTAACAGTGGCTTTACTTGTTGCAGGGGTGATAGCCACTGTTGCTTTGCCTTAGCTTATGTGATGCTTTGCTTTGCTTTGCTTATGTAGTGCTTTGCTTATGTGATGTTTTGCTTATGCAACGTTTTGCCTTGTTTGGTTTTATGTTAAGAGGTTTACCTAGCTATGTTCCCTATTTATTGTATTTTTTTTTTCCTAAATAGGGTTTGGTTGATGCGTGATTAATTGATTTGTGGTGTTTATTTAATGGTGCCTTTTAACCTATTGACTCTGACCATTTTATTCCTGTTCTGCACTGTATTTGAGTGGGGGGGAAACTTCTTATAGGTAGCATTTTAGCTTCTGGGGTTAGGTTTCTTAAAACATTTTCATTGTTAAATTATACTTTGACTCAAATAAAGTTTATCTGTGTGAATAACTCCAATGTCTCCGTGTTTGCAGATCTATCTGGGGGTAGCAGCTCAGTACTGGGGAAGTTTGCATGAGTTTGACCTCTGAAAACAGGAGGGGTGTTATTCTTGGGGAACTACTTAGAGTTACTACGGTCTGAGTTGCCTAGGCCTGTATATTGGCCCGGTCACACTTAGGAATATAATTTATCTTATTCAGTGGCACCAATTCAAAATGTTCCCACACTTGTGACCGTTTCCATGATGGCTCCATAGCGAGTCAATCCAAAATGTGTTGACAAGACGTAGGACAGAGAGCTGTTTCATCCATCTTAAATACATCTTTATCACTTTCATTGGGGGGGAATCTCGCGAGAGTTTATGGGAAGGCCCCACGGCTGGCATTAGTTCACCAATCTAGCGTTTTAATACGCCTGTAGTACGTTTTATATTGCTCCTGACTACTGAACGATGTAATAGCTCTGTATAATTGATTAAACAAGGAATGTGTTGTGATCTGAAAGGTGTTTAAGTATTGGAAAGGTTAGATATTAATGTTCATTCATGGGAATGTATGTTTTATTTCATTAATATATAAGAGATAAGGTGACAATGTTTATATTCTGAAGTGCTCTGTCCAATCCAGGTAGACAGTGTGGGGTGAGCTAAGGGTAAATGAAGAGAGCTCACATACCATGGGTTTACACTGTATGCGTCTATCCATCCATCCATTTTCCTCCGCTTATCCGGGACTGGGTCGCGGGGGCAGCAGTCTTGTCTCAGTCACAAGCAAGTTTGGTACTTAGTATTGAAGGTTACTGTGGAGGATGCACTCTGTTTATGTTTACGGTAGAAATGTCAGTACGGTATGGTTGTATGTGTGACATTGCACTGAGAATGTAAATATATTGAGTTAAAAAGAAAAAAAAAAGACAATCTGAGAAAGGAACGAGGTGGTCCTGTGTTTATTGCGCTGACACTTACACATCTGTTACAGGTTGTGATCTCGTCACTTTGCTACGGTGATCCACTCCACCGGGACCCGTAACATGTACACTAGTTAGGGCAGATGGACAGGTTACAAAATAGCTCTCCAGTCTGAAAAGTCATAAAATGCATCAAGAGCTTAGCTCTTTTATTGACTGTTTTGATTTTGTCTATTTTACATTATGAGATTAACATATACTTCTACACCACTAATAACCTTTAGAATTATTTTATTACAGTAGCAGCTGTTATCACTGCTGAGCCAGAGACAAACAAACCCAAAACTCAGGTGTTGTGCACAAACTTTAAAGGCATACTGTATATTTAAAGAGGAAGAGAACAAGGAAATATAATTTGTGTTGATCATCAGTTTATTCTTTTTTTTTTTTTTTTTTCAGCATGTCCACACTGTAGGTGCACAAGTGAGTGCACATACTCTTTATTCTGAGACTACAGTGGGAAGGCTTGGCAGGACACTTGTCCAGAAATGCACGTAACGCAGTCTCAGCCTCTCGCTCGCATAGTTCTTGTCCATGTTAGAATTGATCTCCAGGTACTGGTGTTCACTGGAGGTGAATCTTTGCCAGGTAACAGGCACGCTTGACTCTCCTTTGTTGGGGTCTCTGTGGACATGAAACAAAAAAGAGGGCAAGTGAATTGAGGTAGTTGCAATTGTCTATAAAATTTTTCGATTCAGGATTATTTGATTTCTGTGATGCTCCTGCATCTAGTGTCCGCAGGATTATACCCAGTTCTGGCGAAGTTGGTCCAGTAGGCGATCATGTATCCGGAGACATCACGGTGGCGAGGCCAGTATCCCAGTGGTGTGGTGAAAGGCTTTCCGAACACGTACTGCAGGTCATCAGCGTGGTCTGCTCCCATCCAGCCGGGGTAGGGCCTGCCAATGCCGCCCATGCGGTTGGGCTGGGAGAATACGTAGGAGTAGGTACGACCGGTTCTTTGGGGAGACAAGAAAAATATAAAGGATGTTACAATGTGCGATAAATGAAAGGAAAAAAAACATAAATCCAGAATCAGCCCATGCAGGAGTCCATTAAAAACGATATGCATTTAGTAGCATTTATTTTTGTATTTATTATTGTAGCATTTCAGTAGCATTTGTATTACTTTTAGAAGTATTTTATACCTTGCATTTAACCATGTGTAGATGCTTGATAATGCTTTTCACTGTGAACTCACTAAATATAAAACACAGCAGGGCTTCTGGAAGCTGGACTGTGCCATTATATTAGTATTTAAATTTTAAACGTATAATTTCATCAGTCAATTTTACCTTTAGGCCTTTGTGTGCCATTAGAATGACTACTGAACATTTCTGTCATATATTTCAAGTAACTAATGGAATTTGCATTAAAATTATGAAATAAAAATGTACAATAACAGCAGCATGGTGGAAAAGTGGTTAGCGCTGTTGCCTCCCAGCAAGAAGGTTTCAGGTTTTAGCCCCGGCTGACCTGTTGCATTTCTGTGCAGAGTTTGCATGTTCTCCCTGTGTCTGCATGGGTCAGATTGGTTCTAGCCCCCCAACCGTGACCATTGTTAGGATAAGCGGTATAGATAATGGATGGATGGAATAAAAATGTATGTGAAACTACAACAAAATATAATTACATCAGTCAATTTTACCATTATTCTGCCATTTAATGATTCAGAAATTGAAGCTAATCTGCTGCATAAAATTGATATAAAATGTCATTGCCTTTTATTTTATTAATGTACTGTATTCTGGCTTATTTTATGTGTTCCTTTGCACTGTTTTACAGTTTTCTTGAGGAATAAAAAGGGCTTATAAATAAACTGACAACATCTGTATTGCAAGATCCTGCTCTCACCTGGCAGCAGAAGCATGAAGGTAGAGGGCAGACTGTGTTGGAACCAAGAAGATGTAGTCTGTTCCAATGTCCACAATGGTTTTCTTGATCGTCTCACCACTGGGCTTTGATCCCCAGGTCGCAGTGTATACGTAGTAGGCATTGTCCAGCCCAGGCTTCCCTTTGTCCTTAGTGTATGAAGCCAGGAGTCTCTTCACATCTTCACTGAAATCAGGAAGAGATGGTTTATGAGTAAGGTCTGATAAAACATCAAAAATGTTAGTGGCTCCACAGTTCTCACAAAGGTACGTCAGATTGCTCTCTGTGAATTGTCAGTGTGTCACACTGATCAAGTAGCTTGAACTCACACAGGGGTGTCCACCAGTGGGGTGTTGACTGAAGGAACATCTACACCCGTGAAGATGTGCCCATCCATGTCGTTGACTCCAGCGATGTAGTCGATATCAGCCGCATTGTGGAACAAATTGTAAGGCTCATCTGGCAGGAAGTCACCATCAATCACAGGAGATAGGACCAGGTTATCCACCAGTGGGTCTAATAGAGGAAGATAGAATTAGACACTTAAAATATGGTATTACAGTAGAAAATGAATGTTTTATACAGCATTGGCACCCAGATTTTTCTGTCATTCATGCCTTTACCTACTATATCTGTATCTACATAACATTAAACTCTTAATATGACCAACATGGAAGCACCAATCAATGTCTCAAAACTGCTATTTTGAATAAAATATGCAAGTGCCATTAAAAAGCCACAAAGTATGATTTGAACTTAAAGTGTGGCCATGCATGTTGTTGGTCTGTCGGCCACTGACTAGTCTGCTGTTGTATGTGCAAGTACAAATTTCAGAAACATTGGGCAGTGTGAGACCACAAGCTCTTTGAGGTCAACAAACCCAGGGTCAAGGTTTTAGGATCTAAAACATCAACATTCTCAGGGCAAATTTCCATCCAAATTTAAGGCAAATGTTAAACTTTCTCTTTTATTTGCAAAAAAAAAAAAAAGCAAATTAATCCATGCTTCCACCCACAACCCTTATGCAAGGATTAGGATTAGGAGTTGGATGACTTGATATAAACTGTAGGTGGCTTTAATCCTCCTGGGTACCATTAAACAACTGCAGAAGAAAGGGATGCAGCAAGATGACTTAATTATATATGGATGGATCAAAACACAGTTACTGGCTATATTATGTACCATTGCACTTTAAACCCATAACACACACTGGACATTTCATACACAAACAAAGTTGCTCTAGTAGGAAACTGTGTTGTAAAATAAAACTAAACAGAGCTGAGTGCTGTTCTTACGATCAGGTGAGCCAGCCAAGCTGAGAGTTCCGGCCAATGTTAGGCGCACAGGATCAGTCATCTTCAAACAGGCAGCCATTCTCTCATCAGTGGGGCAGGCGACTTTCAGAGCAACCTGGGAGAAGGTTGCAGGTTACATATTTCAAAAAAGAGACAAAAGAGTGTTCAAAGTTCCATAGAAGAAGTAAAACATGCCAGAGAAGCTACCATATACCTCTTCAGCGAACCTGCGGGGGTTCCTGTTGACGGCCCATGGGCAGAGGGCAACTCCACTCTGGGAAATGGCCCTCCTGATAAGCCCTTTGTTGTGGGGAGTGAGAGTCTGTGGGCAGACCGAAAAACAGATGTTCTAGCATTTAATTTAAAATAGGACTCACATTTATAGATAATGAAGTTCATCTCATTTCATATCTATCAGCTCTTCCAATACTTCATTAAACCTCTTAGGTGATTCAGCTTTGATGGAGCAATGCGCACGATGAGCTAGACATCCAGAAAAAGCCTTTCACCTGGAAGCTGACACTAGCTCCACCTGCAGATTCTCCAAAGATAGTGATGTTGTCAGGGTCTCCTCCAAATGAGCGGATGTTCCTGTGCACCCAGGCAATGGCGGCTTGCTGGTCCCACAAACCGTAGTTTCCTGAAGAGGATGGAACTGTTTATAAAGCTGGGGGGGGCGGGGGCTCTGTACAATCCTGTCCCTGTTGCCTCCTGGCCACTGTACAGATAGTTGTCCAGGAAGTTAGCACCCATTGAGCCGCCAACCAGGAAGCCTCCTCCAAAGTGCCAGACCATGACAGGCAGATCATTAGCCACTAGAGAACAAAGAGAACTACAGATAGTTGTAGTATAGTGTCGATCTAATGTGGATGACACTGTGTGACCTTCTCTCAGTACTTACCTGAGCCAAAGTGAGGAACCCAGATGTTAAGGTACAAACAGTCCTCACTACCTCTGGTGTCAGTCATGAGAAGATTCAGCTGAAGGCATCGTTTCTTGAACTCAGTGGTCTTCATAACACCTAATAAAAGACAAGACTTTTAAAAATTATTAAGAAAATTTGTTTTTATGATACTTTACATCATACAGTTTAGGCCTTTACATCTGAAGCAAAACAAAAAAACACTTAGACTAAGACACTGTGCTCACACAAAAAAAAATACCATGAACAAGCTGCCTAGATATGCAAAGATAAAACCCTTTATTAAAATTAAAAGAGAAGGCTTGGTAGAACTAGCTGCCAAACCTTTCCCCCTAAAATACTTGTTAGTTCCTGAGCAACAACTCATCATTGTAATTTTTTTGTTATTGATCTAGGTGTTCTGTAAAAGAGAAGTTCAGTGTCCCCACCATCCCAACCAGGGTGAGGCTTTGGCTTCTGAAACCTTCCAGGGATGTCAGCAAAGGGCACCCCCCTGAAGACATCCATATGACGACGAAATCCAAGGCGAATGTTCTCGCCCTCCACCTTCCCTCCCTCTGTTTCAACTACGCCAAGCTATAGAAATTAAGCACAAAAGAACTTGGTGTGCTAGTCCACCAAAAATGTGAATGAAAGTCTTTTTTTCCAAATATAGAACTAAACATTTGACATTTGGGATGTTTTGAAAAAACTGAAAAAGTTTCAATCATGTAACAGAAATTAAAAAAATATTCCACTACTAATAATGTAGAAACGTGGCATTTTAACTTTTGTTCCTATACAAATTTAGTAGAAAGCTAAATCACTGTTATAGACACACTAAACAACTGTAACATATGGTTGTTTAGATACAATGGGATCAATCTTTCTGTGTGACACTTACAGATGCCCCAGAGACCGTCTCCAGAAACAAAGCAACAGCAACCAGAATCCCCAGGTTCGCCATCATGACCAACCTGTGACAAGCTGTTGATTGTTGATCAGAGTTTTATAAAGGAAACCCCTCCCCCAAACATCTGACCAGTGTGCAGCCTCTGTCTTGACTTTTCTCACTGTTACATAATATTTAACCACCTTGAGTCCACAGCACTTTTCCCAGTACTTACTGTCAGTTATATTATATCATACAATGAACTTTTGAATTCTCAAAGTGTAATCTGAAAATTGATTTGTTGGTCATTCTGTGTTTGTAATTTCTTACAACTGTAAAAAAAAAATGACGCTGCATCACTTTCACCTCACATGAACCTGCCATCATGAGTGAAGTTATCTAAGGATGTTAACTGTGCTGTGACTGCACGGCTGAGTAGAGGTTTTGGTTCATAAAAACATGGACTCGTGTTGGCCTTTCATTTGGTTTTACAATAGTTTTGAGACATTTAGTTAATTAAATAAGACATCTACAATAAAACTGCTTACGTGACTAATACTTGATGTTCCAACTTCAACTCCAAGTTGACACAGCTGTCTGGCTGGGCTCAAAGTCATACTGCTGAAGCCAGTTCAGAAGCTAAACCCTGTCTTATGCATGACTGTTTCTACTAATGCTGCAAACCAGTAATATAAATACCTCTACCATAGCCTACAGTGACCTTCAACTATAGTGACAGTGGACATTAGCATCTTTCTAAATTGTTACCTAATTTGGGCAGGAAGTGTATATAATTCTTCCTGCCCTAACCTACACATTTAGCCTTTAAATTAAGAAAAAGTATTATTATATTTTTAATACAAATCTCAAAATATAATCAACAATTCAAGTCACTTATGACACATTTTAATTAAAGCAAAGCACCTGTTCTGACACAGCACCCTTTCCATAGTCCCCATATACAGTCCAGATGGTAAGTATTTAGACAGCAGCTCAGTTTTATTGTTCAAGCTCTGTGTTTTAGCATGTCCAATTTAAAATAAAAGTGTCTACCACATGAAGTGCCAGGTCTCAGCTTTAACTTGAGTATGTTTACATCAATGTTCAAAGAAATATGTGTTGTGGGGGGAGGGGGTTCAATCTTTTGGAGGTAGGCCAAGTTCTTGTGATTGGTACAGACTAAAAAAGGTTGGTCGGCACTTTTGAGGAGGTGCTACCATTCTTCCAGGGCTAGTTTGATCCCTAGGAGTTCCTTGTTACCCACATCGTAATTACGTTCGGCCGGGGTCAACTGTTGGGAGAAAAAGGCACAGGGGTGTAAGGCGTGGTTTTCCTCGGACCGCTCCCACCCGAGTGTTAGACGTGTCCACCTCAACCACAAACTGCCATGAGGGATCAGGTTGGAGGAGTACGGGGGCTGAAGTGAACTGGTTTTTGAGTTCTTGGAAGGCCTGCTCTGCTGTCCTGGACCATGCAAACTTCATCTTGGTGGAAGTGAGCTGCGTACGGGGGGCAGCCGGTCATGAGGTGGTGGGTTGTCCGGCCAGGAGACAGGTCAATGCACAGGTAGGGCTCCACTGGGTGATGGTGCCAGTGGTCCAGTCCATGGTGGGATTGTGTTGGACCAACCAGGAGTGACCCAAAACTAACGGTGTATCCAGGATGGAGAAGATGTTGAAACTGATGTCCTCATGATGGTTGCTGGTGATGGTAAGATGAAGAGGTGGAGTCCAGTCAGTGATGTGGGTCAGCAGCCAGCCGTCGATAGCCCAGGTCTCTATACCATGGGGAAGTAGTTCAGGTCTAAGGCCTAGTTGCGCCACCAAGGCTGGGTCCATGAGGTTACCCCCAGCTCCAGAGTCTAGGAGCGCTTGGTGGGAGGAAGCGTGACCAGCGGTCTCCAGGAGCACGGGGAGAAGGCAGTTGGTACCCAGTCTGGTGGAGGTGGAAGGACGGCCCGTCAGTGTCCCCACTTTCACTGGCGGGCCTGCTCTTTTGGCCACACCGGGCAAGCAATGATGAGATGATCCGAGGCCCCACAGTACAGGCAAGACCCAGTGCGGATGTAGCAGGCCCGTTCCTCGGGGTTCAGACGGGCACATCCTAGATCCATTGATTCATCTGTTATTCTTCGAGAGCTTGTGTTAGACTCCAACATGCGGAGAGAGGCCCGAGCCTTGACTGGTGGTGATGACGTGACATGGGTTCGCAGGGCCGACTGCTGCCCTGCTCTTTCCTTGCAGAAAGAGCATTGTTGCTTGTCAATCCGGATAGCCAAGTCAACTAGGGAGATGAGATTAGGGGGCTCGTTCTTGGTGTTGAATTCGGCCTTGATATCATTGAGGCCGTGTCAGAAGGCCGCGCATTATGCGCGGTCCTCCCAGCCAGCCTCCGTAGCTAAGACCCGGAAGTCAATGGAGTAGTCCAGGACGGGACAAGCCTTAAGTTCCCTAGAAGCTTGGCTCTGAGGAGATGGTGGAGAAAAGACAGACCTTAATTCCTCTAGAAATTCCGTGACGGTGGTACCGATGAGTAATCCATGGTGTCCGCAGCCTCAGCCCAGGTGAGCGCCTTCCCTCGTAGTCGGTTGATGACGTAACTGATTTTCTCTCCGTCTGTGAGAAAAGTCAGAGGTTGGTGATCGAACACCAGGCGGCACTGCAGCAAAAGACCCCGGCATTTCTCAACGGTGCCATCGAAAACGTCTGGTTCAGGTATGGGAGGATCTCGGCGGCGACTAGCAGAACGGGTGGCTGAGCGTGGATGATGACCTGGGGTTGCAGACTGATCGTGTTGTGATAGCATGATGGCGGTGAGTTGGCCTACCTGTTGAGTGAGGGTGGAAATATGTTGTTGCTGCTGCTGCAGTGCCTGAGCCATTCTGTCCATCTGTGCGTCGTAGCGAGCATTAGATGGTGAGCTGCTTGCACCGGAGTCAGCAGGGTCCATGTTGTCCAGTTTATTCTGTTGTGTCTGCTCAGACACAGAAGAGAGTGAGTAAAAGATAGGCGGACCCAGGTAGCTGACTTCGGTGCAAGTAGTACTAAATTTATTCACAGTGAAGTGAGAAAAAGTCAACAAGAAAAACAGGTAAGTGTAGGATGATGGGAGTAACCGGGTGTCGATCAGCAGCAGAGAAACCAGTTTGTGGTGAGATGGATGGGAGTAGGCCGGGTTGCGGACGCTGAAGTCAGAGAGACGGTGGTGACTGTGGAGACAGAAGGCATGATTTTGTACAGATGAGCTACAGATGAGGTGACTGTGCATCGACCTGAAATGGTGGAAACTGGAAGGGCAGAGTAGGTCCAGGGTCCGGAGGAGACGTCTGTGGAGGAGGAAAACAGCAGGAGAGTGTGGCAACGGAGAGTGGAAGATAGTACTGGTAGGAGCTAGGAGAACTAAGGGTGAGAGACAAATGGTCAAATACAAAAACACAACGATCGAACGGGCCTGAGAACAAGAATAAACTGGCAAGGGAGTGATAGGTGAGCGGGGTATAAGTAAGGATAGAACTAATGAAGTGCAGCTGGTGACAATCAGGGGATGTGGAGCAGGTGTGCCAGTTTGTGTAATCGGGCCCGAAAAAGAGAAACGGAGTGAGAGAGACAGGTGCAGCCAGGCAAACCTGACAATATGTGAGCCATTTTGACACTGTGTCCAAATTGCAAATGATGGGACTCCTGGCTACTAAATGTTTCATCAGTTTTGGAACAAGAGTTACCATTTACAGTATGTAGATTGAGATGGTGTTGTCTGTCAAAATTAGAAGTACAGAGCTTACCATGTAAGTAATGAAGCTCAAAGTTCTAGCAGAATATCTAATGTGGTTTGCAAACATGAAGAAAAT